CTGTGGATGGAGTGCGTTTCACTGATGATTTGTGTTCCATTGTATCTCATGGAGTCACTCTGCCCACTGCTCATTAATCAGTTGCTGGTGTGTGGTCCTCCTCTGTCTGCACTCTGCAGCAGATGGAGTTCCTCCTGATGGCAGCTACATCCTGCTAGCCTGTACGCAAATCACATGCCCAGCCAGTGTAGCCTTCATGTCATTGACCTGGGGGGAGAAGGGAGAGCGGGGGGAGGTAGATTGGGAGGGGTGGAGTTTTGTATGCTGGTGCTGGAGAATCAAAGTGAAGAAGAAGCTGCTGTTTTTCTCTAATCAAACTGATCTCTGTGTCTCCGACCTCACCTCTTACCACGACTCTCTCTCCTTCACCGACATCTTTCTTCCACACGTCCTCCCTCCCTCCTGTCTTTTGTTACCCCCCTGCCCCGCCCCACCTGCAGGTTAGTCTAGCATACGCCTATGAGACCAAGGATGCGCTGTGCCTGGTGTTGACCATAATGAACGGTGGTGACCTAAAGTTTCACATCTACAACATGGGCAACTCTGGCTTCGACGAGCAGAGAGCCATTTTCTACGCTGCTGAGATCTGCTGTGGCCTTGAGGACCTGCACCGAGAGAGAATAGTGTACAGGTACGACCACCAGGGGGACTCTGTGGTTAAGGTTGGCACAGGTGATGTACAGTCCGTGGTTTTCTCCTGGACACTAGATTTAGGAGGTTAGAGAAGGAGCAACAGAGATGTTTACAACAGCCAGAAAAAAGCCCTGACAGTGAGGAAGGAGTTACAAAGGTGTTTAATCCAAAGACTACAAAATCAAATCACTTTTATTTTACAGAGTGAAATCCTGAGAGGGGATGTTATTTTCAACACATTTGAAAAGAAGAACTAAATTTCAGGATTATTCTGGATTACATTATTATTCTTTTTTTCTTAATCTGTGTTTTCTTTTTTTGTCAGGGATTTGAAACCTGAAAACATCCTCCTGGATGATCGTGGTAAGTGCTGGTTCTTTATTAAACTCTGTATGAATTTGTCCCGCCGTGTTGTCCTTGTAGTGGTCCTGGTCCTGGTCTGCACTATTGCAGTGCAGTCCATTAGATTGCATTTTATTTTTATTTGAATTACTGTATAACATTGCCTCGTTCACAACTTGACTTAAGTGTACGGTAAATTTATCATAAAGTATCATAAAGTAAATGTATAAAACAAGAGTATTAAACGTTTTGCTTTTCTTCCCAATACCGAAATACAATCAATAATCGGATTCTTTTACGATGTGTGTGTGTGTTTGTGTGTGTGTGTGTGTCCATGGCCCTTATTTTTATTACAATTGATTAATTTCCTAAAGAGGTCTTTCCAGCTCCGAGTCCAGTTGATATCTACTGTATTGTTGTGAGTATCAGTTGGTTCCATGGCCCTTATTTTTATTACAATTGATTAATTTCCTAAAGAGGTCTTTCCAGCTCCGAGTCCAGTTGATCACAACTAAACTCTTTGGATAACATGACCTGGATGAATGAGAATCTTCACAGATGTAATTTATTAATTATTCGTATTTTATTTTTTTTAGGACACATCCGAATTTCAGACCTGGGCCTCGCTGTTCAAATCCCTGAAGGAGAGACGATACGAGGGAGAGTGGGTACTGTGGGATACATGGGTAAGACAAACAGAGACTTCTCTTTATTCAGCCTACAGGAGAGAGAACCTCTGTGTCCTCACCCGTCATCCCTCCTGTCCTCAGCTCCTGAGGTGATCCAGAATGAGAGCTACACCTTCAGCCCAGACTGGTGGGGGCTGGGCTGCCTGATCTTCGAGATGATCCAGGGCCAGTCACCTTTCCGTAAACGCAAGGAGCGCGTTAAGCGAGAGGAAGTGGACAGGCGAGTGCGAGAGGACCAGGAGGAGTACTCCGACAAGTTCTCAGAGGAGGCTAAGGACATCTGCAGACAGGTGGGAGTGTGAGGACGGGGGAGACGGGTGATGTTTTTTAGTGGCATGTGGCTGGAAAAAGATAAGACAGAAACAAAGAACAGAGGCAAATTTGGACCCGGAGGTCAGCCTGACAAGAGACAGTTATAGTGGCATGATACTGTACAGTACTGTGCCAGTTTTAGGCAGGACATATTTATAATCTGTATTTTGCGAATATGATTAAACATTTTGGTTGTGATCATTTTCTTTGCTCTGCACAAAATAACAAATTAGAAAGTTGTGTTTTATAACCATCTGAATATGAAAATGTGAAAAACAGTGCACTGATATTTGGTTTGCAGACACTTCGACAGAAAAAAACCCTCCTCAGTTCAGTTTTACTTCATCTTACTGTACATCCGACCCCACTGTCATCCTCAAAATCCACTGCTCCAAGAATCAAACAAACTGTGTGTGTGAGTGTGAGCAGAGGGACAGAACGATTATGTGAGTGTG